CAGCATTCCTCTGACTCCATAAATCTCTGTCCCTTGAAATCTCATTTAAACAAGTCATAATATAACTGGCTCCCTTATTAATTAAGGACTTGAACAAAATCTATGACATGTGTTCATTTTATATTTGCATAGGAGTTATGTTTCTAACTTTTTGAAAACTGTGTTTTAACAATACAAAAAGGCTTGTGCAGTCAGGAACTTTGAATGGATATTCCCTCTGTTTCTCACCATTCACCACAATTCCTCACCTCACGGGGCTCTGTGGAGAGGAGGAACAGCTACAGTGTTTTAAGAAATTAAACTGACCCAAGAGAGACAACAATAACTCAGCTCTACAAGTTTGCACTCTCAGTTTAACGTGGGAACTCAACATGTTAAAAAAAAAAAAGACAAAAAAATACCTTAAAATATTTTAAACAACCAACACTTTAATATTAATTTAAAAGTATGAGTGGGGGTAGAGGTTGTATACTTGTGCAAGGGTTCTCAAAGCATGAAACTTCCTGGGATCCCTGAGACCCTTTTAAGGAGTCTGCAGATCAAACTGTTTTCATTACAAGACAGTATTTGCATTTTTAACTGTGTTCACATTTGCAATGATCATGCAAAAGTAATGGTGGACAAGGCTATTGGCCCTCAGCACAAATCAAGGCAGTGGCACCAAACTGTATGTGGTCATTGTGTTCTTTATTGCCATGTACTCACAGTACAATGACATAAAAGCCAATTTTACTTAAGAATGTCCTTGATAAAGTAGTAACTTTGTTAATTCTATTAAATCTTGACGTTTCAATATACATCTTTTTAATAGAGAAGATTTTTTTTTTTTTTGAGACAAAGCCTCAAGCTGTCATCACAGCTCACAGCAACCTCCAGCTCCTGGGCTCAAGTGAATCTCCTGCCTCAGTCTCCCAAGTAGCTGGGACCACAGGCACCCGCCACAATGCCTGGCTATTTTTTGGTTGCAGCCATCGTTTGTTTGGCAGGCCCGGCTGGATTTGAACCCACCACCTTAAGTGTATGTGGCTGGTGCCTTAGCCACTTGAGCCACAGGCACCAAGCCATAGAGAAGATTTTAGTAGAACCTCCATAGTTGACCACCTCCCTACACTGAACACCTCCTTAACTTGAACTAATTTTCACAGACCAAATGTCTGTCACATGTATGTATTAGTATATAGTAGGCCTAGTTCCTTATGTTGATCACCTCTGTATGTTGATCAGTTTGTTACAGTCCTTTGGGTAGTCAACTTACAGAGGCTCTACTGTACTTTGTGTGATGAAACAAGAAGCATTTTGTGAAGTACAAAAGTTGTCTCCAAGGAAAGTACTCATGTGATTCAATTTTGAGCTCAATAAGCACTTATTTCATGCAACCTTTTTTTTTTTTTTAAGAGACAGAGTCTCAATTTATCGCCCTTGGTAGAGTGTCATGCTATCACAGGTCACAGCAACTTCCAACTCCTGGGCTTAGGCAATTCTTTTGCCTTAGCCTCCCTAGTAGCTGGGACTATAGGCGCCTGCCCAGCTATTTTGTTGTTGCTGTTGTTGCAGTTTGGCCATGGCCAGGTTCGAACCCACCACCCTCAGTATATGGGGCCAGCACCCTACCCACTGAGCAATAGGCAACGCCCATGAAACCATATTTTTATGTGAAAGCATGATTGACAATAAACTATGATTATTCAAACTTTGGTATTTGGTAAACATTTTCTCAAAAATAAACCAAATGAGCCTGTTACTTCAAGGAAAACAACTGACGATAATTATTGTCAATGATAAAACGAACTTTCAATAGAAAAACAGAATTTTAGGCTCGGCGCCTATGGCTCAACCGGCTGAGGCGCCAGCCACGTACACCTAAGGTGGCGGGTTCCAATCCCCAGCCCGGACCCGCCAAACAACAATGATGGCTGCAACCAAAAAATAGCCGGGCGTTGTGGCGGGCGCCTGTGG